CAGTGGACCCTCTACTTAAGGAATTAATCCGTATTGGAATGGTGGCTGCAAGTCGAAAAGTCTGTAAGTCGAATCTCCATTGACCTACAATGCACTGAAAACCAATTAATCCCATAACCAGTGGTTTTTATTCTATTTTTATTCCATTTTGGTTTTTTTCTGGTCTGTAAGTCGATTCTCTGGCTGCAACTCAAATCTAAATTTTGCAGCCAGAGAAGTCTGTAACTCGAAAAGTCTGTAAGTCGAGCCGTCTGCAAGTCGAGGGTCCACTGTACTTCATTAAAAGACAGTATTTAAAGCTAAAAGGATGCAAATACTAAAAAAAAGATCAAACAGATGCCACACTAATAGATAGTAAACAAAAGCAACACTGAAAACACATCGGATGCAGGAAGGCAATAGTCCATTCAAAAAGAAGAGAGAAACACAAGCCACTCAGGCAGTCAGTCAATTAAGACAAAGCTTGCCTGAAGAGAAAGCGATTGGGGGCTTTTGCAACAGAGTGGGTCTATAGATAGCAATTATGGAAATGCATGGTTACATTGTTGAATTGTTCTGACCGGAAAGCAATTCATTATCTTGCAAAGAGGTTACAAGGTTGGATGAAAAGGAGACTTCCAAGGTTATGGGAAAAAGGTATTGTGCAGTGAGACTGTCCAGGTTCCAGAGTTCAGTTTGCATAAGATTAGTCCTGGCATTCGCAGGGTGTGTGTGTGTGTGTGTATAGAGACAAAACCCAGCCATCCTGCTGGGGGAAGGAGTCGGACCCCCGCTGTGTCTGTTTTGCTCCTCCAATCTAGATTGGAAAGCCAGAAACCTGGCCAGCCTTATTCCTTTATAGGGACTCTTTGAGGGAACGAAAAACATGTGCATATATGTCTATGGCTGGCTGTGTTTTATCTCAGCAAACTGCATTCTGTGTGAGCTGATCAAAGGTGTGATCTTCCTGCGTGTTTCATGTAGTGCTTTTTGTAAACATGGGCCCATATAGATTGCTTTTCCCAAAAGACAAACTATTTTGGAAACTTCTGGAAAAACACAACTTACAAACAGTATTCAAGCCCACCACAAAAATACAACAAATGTTACGGTCAGCAAAGGACAGAAGGGACCCCCTCACCACTGCAGTTGCAGCCAGGTATACATTGGAACCACAAATTGAAGCATCCACACTAGAATCAAAGAACATGAGAGACACTGCAGACTAAAATAACCAGAAAAATCTGCAGTAGCTGAACATGCCCTAAAACAAACTTTTTGCAAACATGGTCCCATCAAGTTTGCTTTTCCCAAAAGACAAACCACCACCACCAGAAAAACTGGGAGCGGGGTTCCCAGTTTTTCTGCAAGCCTTGGCTTGCCCTGAAGATGCTGATAAACACCACCACCACCAGCAGCTTGTTTCTCTGTGCTCCTGTTTGTGCTCCATGGCCATCATAACTCAGCATCCATCTGCCTTCATCCATTGGCAAGTGAAACCTGCAAGCAGATCTGGCAGTGCAGCGTGGCCCTCTCCAAGGTTTCAGCCATCTGGCCTTGCCTTCTTCCGAGAGATTCCCGTGCTCTCCTGTGTTGTTTCATTTCCCCCTCAATAGGATTGAACGACTTCATGGAGCCGAATTGGGATTCAAACCTATTAATCAATCGATCGATCGATCGATCGATCGATCGATCGATCGATCGATCGATCGATCGATCGATCGATCGATCGATCGATCGATCGATCGATCGATCGATCGATCGATCGATCGATCGATCGCAATTCATTCATTCATTCATTCAGACCTGTATTTTCAGACCCTCATTGCATCCTGGACTTTGCCCCTTTCAGATGCTGCTGTGTTTTTAAAAATAAAACGTTATAAGCTCCAGGAAGGCCCTCAGGAACTCGCTTGGGTGTTGCAGGAAGCAGTTGAGTGTAGAGGCTTTCAGCCTTGAGAAGGAGGCGTGTGGTGGGTTTTGCGCCTCCTTCTCTTTTCCCGCAAGACCTCAATGGATCGATGGGCTTTTGCTCTGGGCCTCTCCAGGGTCCGGTGGACTCAGTGCCCAGAAGGAGTGGCGGTGTGGGTTTCTCAGGAGCAAGGGGGGGTTTCTATCCCTGCGACACCTCCTCCCTTCGGGCTTCCCTTGGAATGGGAGGCTCAGCAGCTTGTTTTGCTTTCCATCATTTGTGGCAGAGCAGGACGGAGACGGGGACTGTGGGTGTGTGTGTGCAGGCCACGTCTGGCAAGAGGTGCAGGGAACATCTGGCAAGGCATCAAGATGGCTTGTGGGAGCCGTGGCTGGACCAGGGCTGGCTGCTTCGGGCTGGAGGGCTGCGCGGCTCCCTAATCGTGCCTGAAGGCCACGATGCAGCCCCGGCCCGCCTTGTGCCAGCAGCGAAAGCACTGCCGTCTGACAGACCTTTCCGCCTCTGTTGCACGTCTGTCGCAAATCCCCAGTACTGGACAAGCCGAGGGTCTCCTGCTCCTGCTTGGCCGGGGACTGTCCCAGCGCCCTCCGTGGGTGCCCCGGGGAGCAGGCTCTGTATCCTTTTGCCACCCCTGGAAAGAAGGCAGTGCTCCTTCCCCAGGAAGGTTCAGCACCCCTCCTCACGCAGCTGCCGGCCGTGGGCTTCTCTCCTTCCTCAGAAACCAGCGGCCGACACCGTGGCCATGGCCCTCCTCCTGCTGACGGTCGCCGTCCCTCCCGCCATCCCGGCCGCCTTGACCACCGGCATCGTTTACGCCCAGAGGAGGCTGAAGAAGAAGAAGATCTTCTGCATCAGCCCCCAGAGGATCAACATCTGCGGGCAGATCAACCTGGTGTGCTTTGACAAGGTGCGGCCCAAGGAGGACATCTTTGGGGGGCGGGTGGATTGGGGAGGTTGTGGAGCAGAGAGGGAGAGAGGTTTTGAAGACCTCTATGGTCTCCAGGATGACTCCGTTTGCTAAGGGCTGAGCTGTCGGGGGTTCAGCTTCCATGGACTGTGGGGGTAAGAAGCTTTGCACCCCACAGTGCTCCCCATTTTGCCCTGCCTTCCAGGCTCCCAACCTCTCCCCCCCACTCTCGGCTGGTGGCCCCTCCCTGACAGAAGGTCCCGGGCTGGACCCCTTCCACTGAGACCGAGGGGAGGATCCTGGCCACTCTCTGTTGCACTGACGTCCTCTCCCTCTTTCCCCGAACGCAGACTGGCACCCTGACCGAGGACGGGCTCAATCTCTGGGGCGTCATCCCTTGCCGGAAGAGGAGGTAAGGCGTCTCTCTTGGCCGCCCCCCTGGCCTGGGTTCAGGGCCCTTCCTTTATGCCAGAGAAAGGACCGGGGAACAGATGCAGGACGCCTCCTCGGAGCAGTGCCTGGAGCAACCTTCGGGGCTTGGAAATGCACAAGAGAACGTGTTTCATTTGTGCAGCACTTGGAACTTGAGAGCAACTGTAAAGAGTTTTGGTCTGGGCCCTGGGCCCTGTTTGTAGCTGAGGAGAAAGCAAACTCAGCCAAACCCTTTCTCCCTTAGAGCAAAATCTCCATTTCCCCTTATTTCCTGGTAAAAGCTGCCCCCAGCCTCCGCTTTACACTCTGCACATGTTCTATGAAGTCAGTCTACTCTGAGAACGTGACTGGAGCAGCTTGACTTCTACATCTGTGTAAGCAAAAGCGGCTTGGCCAGATCTGGAGACCTCCATGCCGAAAGTGGGCAGGTTCAAAGAGATGAACTTTATTTTGAGCCAAAGCGTTCAGGCTGCAAAGGCTGCTTTTCATAACTCCCCAAGCGAGGCGTAAAACTAGCCCAGGCAAACTCAGGGATCCTAAAGCAGCTCAGATTCCTGTCGGTCACACACGGATTGGCAAAACCCAACAGCCCTACTGACTTTGATGTAGAGAGTCTGATTCCCTCTCCGGAGGAGGATCCCTCTCTTCACTTGAGCGAGCGGCCTCTCCCCAATTGAAGCTCCCTCTTGGTTGGTGGGAATTCTCACCAAAAGGCATTTCAAAGAGGCTTCTGAGCTGGTCCTTTGAGCTAATTTGCCCCAAAGGCAAAAAACCAGTTGCTGTTGTGTTTGTTTAGCATGGAAAGGAAACCAGGAAACTGATGATGCTCAACAATACCTCCCTATTGTTCTACTAGAATGGTTGATTTCACAGGAAACCAAAGCAGAATTGCAGCCAAACAAACCTAGGCTGGATTTGTTTAAAAGCTAGTTTTAGTCATCTCAGAACAAGGAGGAGTAAGCCCCACCCCACCCCGCAGGAGGCCCTAAGAAGAAAAGGTTTCCAAGAAGGGTGGGAGTTTCTTAAAGGGGAAATTCTAAAAGCACAACTCCAAACAATTCCAACAACAAGTAAAAAAAAAAAAGGGTGGAAAGAAAGCCAGGTCACCAAGGAAGAGGACAGAGGAGCAGCAAGGAAGTGCCTGGACATCATCCACAGTGTCGCTTTTTGCTTGTGGCCAGAAGGGCTTCCCTCTCTGGTTCTTCTTGGCCTGCCCTGGTTTTGCCCAGGGCAGGGGCAGCTCTAGGGAGCCCATGGCCCACGGAGAAAGTGTTTGCGTGGCATCTTGGTGGCCACGTTGTGGAGGAACGACAGCGGTGGAAGGAAGGAGGCTGTCGAGGTGTCTGGTGGCCATTTACCCACTGATCTGAGACCGAGCTGTGAATGGAGACGTCCCCAAGTCCCCGACGTCCTTCCCAAGAGGGGCGGCTGAAGGCTAATTCTCACTTTTTGGGCCAGTTTCCAGGACGTCCACTCCTTCTCCTCCGGCTCCCCTTTGCCCTGGGGCCCCCTGTGCCGAGCCATGGCAACCTGCCACTCCCTGTTGCTCTTGGACGGGAGGATCCAGGGAGACCCGCTGGACCTGGAGATGTTTCAGGGCACCGACTGGGTGAGCACTCTTTCCTTCCTCGCAAGGCTCCCTGCAGGAGACAAGAGCTTGGCCTTGGAGGGAGGGAACTGCCTAGAGAGCTACAGTACGTACATGGCTTTTCCAGCACTGAGCTGATGCTTTTGGAATCAGCCAGTGCAGCATTTAGCATCCCTGGACACCTTGGCTTTGTGTAAAAATAAACCAGGTTCCCAGCCGTGTGATTGGATTTGAAAGTGGTCCAGAAATATCTTCATGCTAGGCCTGAGATATGGACTCCATTCATTCTCACAAGATAAAAATGGATCTTCAGCATTTTCCTGCTCAGCACCAGCTGTTATGAACCAGTGGGTTTTGTTGCTGCTGTCGTTGTTCTTCTCAGGAAAAAAAATGGAAGTGGTTTGTAAGTCTGGGCCTGTTCGGTCGAGGGCGGCTCCGTGGAGGTAGCGGGAAAGAGAGTCGGAGGCGTTTCTTTTGGTTTAACAGAGTCCATTTTATTCAAATACAAACGCAACTCAACAGGCTCGAAAGGATCCATCAGGCTCAATTCGGGCAACAACTTATAACTTTTAACTCTTTCAACTTTCTCAAATTCCTTCGGCCTCATTGGGGGGCTGGCCCAAAGCGCTCGCGGTCGGTCATAGGCCGAATCGGAGTGGTTCTGACCGCGCAAACAGTCCCGCAATATGGGTGTCTCGCCCAGTCCCCCCTCCCGCCAGCTGTGAAGCAAAGAGGGACTGGGACGGATCACCCTCCTCCCCCCACGTCGATTGCGTGGGTAAACCACCACCGTCCATTCTAGAGGATCCAGCTCTTGCCCACGCGTTAGAAAGTCTGGTGGTTTGGGAAGCAAGCCTCCACTTACTTGCAGGTTAGGGAATTCCTTCAACAATTTCTGGAATCCCTCTTGGCCCATACTCCATTCCGTCTGCACTTCTCTATCCTTTTTATCAGCCGGCTCGCTCTTCACCACTCTGAAACTTCCCGCCTTTTCTCCCTCCTTTATATCCTCCCACACAATAAGATCAAGGTCCCCTCGCCTTTCTCATCGGCCAGACATACTTCTCTGTATTCCTGAATTTCCCTGTCACCTGGCTCCACCTCAACTAATATTCCTTCTATACATTCTCCTCCTCCTTCTGCTCCTTTAACCGCGGAGGACGGCTCACTCCCTTTCTCTCCTTCACATGGTTATTGCCCATTTCTGCAAAATGCATGGTGCTGAACCCTAACTGTTAGAGCAGTACGACAGTGGAACCCGTGACCTCAAGAGGTGGTGAGTGCTCCAACCCTGGAGGCCTTCAAGAGAAACCTAGACCACCACCTGGCAGATCTCCTTTAACTTGTATTCCTACCTTGAGCAGGGGGTTGGGCTGGATGGCCTTGCAGGCCCCTTCCAGCTTCACATTTCTATGATTTCTGTGATTCTATGAAATATATGGCCCCCGTTGCCTTATGGCATGGACTAGGAAATGCATTAGCCCCCAGCTCCATGGGTCTTCCTGATCCACCAACCTGCCCTGCTATGCCTGTTTTGTGTCTTTCTTGCAATACCAGGATGGCCAGCCTCGACTAGAATCTTGGGGTGCAGTAAGAGGTTTCGCGCCCCTGCTCCCCACCACCTTCCTTCAACCATTCCCTCCTGGTCCAGTTTTCCTTTTCGGGCATTTTCAGGGATGACGCAACGGGACGGGTGCCCATGCAGAGCTAAGCTAGCTGTCCCTACAACACCGTTGGAATTAGGGTAGAATCGCCTACTCCCTCCCTTCCTGGCTCTCATGCAATGTCTGAATGCTTTAAAGGTGGATTTTGTCTTATTTCGGGAGAGGCAGTTTTCCAAGCCACTGCAGGAGGTCTCCTGCTGTTCTTTAAAGAACAAGCTCCGCTCGGAGACAGCCAGTTCTTTCTCAGAGCAGCCTCCTGCCTGTTGAGGATCCCTTCCTTTGTCCTTGAAGGGTGTCCATCTTCCACCCACGGCCATTGCCCTTTTCTTCCCTCTGCACCTCCTGTTTAGCTTTCCTGTTTTACAGCTGCCCTGTTTTTTTGATTGAGCGTTGCAATGTTTCCTTGCAGAAAAGTTGCTGCAGGTCCAGCCCCTTTCAGTGACTCCTTAGCCCTTTTTTTCCTGGCCACAAAGCAGGAGGCTTTCTTTTCAAAAATTGAAAAAGGAAAGGGGTTTCAGGCCTTATGCTGAGTTTACAGGAACCTCCTGGAATGCCTTCCAGTGATGCTGTGGGTCTTCCCCCCCCCGCCGCCCCTTCTTGCAGGAGATGGAGGAGTCCCCTCGAAAGGGAGGCACAGGCTGCTCATCACAGACACTGTTAACCATCGTTAAGCCAGGACCTGCTGCTTCCCAGGTAAGCACCGCATCTCCCCGCGAAAGGACGTTGCCCCCTCACCCCCTGCAGGACTTTGAAAGCCTTCTTACTCTGCATAGGGACCGCCTGCCAGGGAAAGATGATGCTGGATTCGCATCATCCCTTGGGATGAGGATGTGAGCCAAGTGATCAAGCTGGCCGGAAAAATGAGGGGAGACCCACACGGGAAGGAGGATGCTGAGTGGGTGAGCCTCAGCTGCCCTCCTGAGCACAGGAGGCGAGGAAGAGGAGAGCCGGGAGGAGGCGTCCACAGGGACCTCTGCCTGTCCAGAAAAACCATCCCGTGAAACTGTTCTGAACGGGGACGTTCCGGGGGGACAAGAGTTTGGGCAACCACTGAAAAGGGGTGAATCCACGGGGGCAGGTCGGGCTGGGTCAGGGGCTTCTCTTACAGGGTGGAGCGGAACCCCAAGGGCCAGCGGGCTTTTGGAAAGGACCCGGCTGCTCCGTCTTGCCCACCTTGTCCCCCGGATAGAACCCCTTGGGGGCTCCTCAGGGCAGCCTGGGTGCCAGCTTGCACGGAGATGCCCAGCCGGGCCCTGTCTTCTTTTTGTCCCTCACAGGCCCCGGTGGAAGGGATCGCGATCCTGCGCCAGTTCCCCTTCTCCTCCGCTCTGCAGAGGATGTCCGTCCTGACCCAAGAACTCGGCAAGGAGGCCTACGAGCTCTACATGAAGGGGGCCCCGGAGAGGGTGGCCAGCTTCTGCAACCCAGCAACGGGTAAGGAGCACAGATTCCCCATGTGCGGGGGGATGGCCATGACCACAGGCCGGGAGGGTGCGATCCATTCCTCTGAACAATGGCAAGTTCAGGAATGCAGGACCTCACCAAGGATGTCCCTGGTGGCTTACTGACATTTGTCAGGCTTGAATTGGTAGTCCAAAATATATGCCCCCTCCCTCCCTCTCAGGACGGAGCTCTGGGAGGACCCCCAGAGCCTGAAAAAGGGGCCCCTTCAACAAAGGCTTGCCTCCTCCCTTTTCACACACCACCCCCTGCTGCCCTCCCCTTGGGTAGGAGTCGGGGGAGGGGCGGAGAGAGATGGCCAAGGCCCCAACCCCCCCCCGTCGAGAGTCCAGCATTCTGTCTACATGGTGACCCACCAGGTGCTTGTGGGAAGCCCCCAGGCAGGGCACGAGGGCAACAGCATTCGTGTTCCTCAACAGCTGGCATGCAGATGGGCCACCTCGGGGGGGGGTGTCAAGGGGGCACACCACTGGAAAGGTTGTCTTGCCAGCTTGCCCCAAGGAGCAGAAGGCGACGAGAAAATTCTGCTGGCAGCTGTCCTGTTGACAGATGTGTCAACCTAGGGGGTCCCTCCAAAGAAAGGTGGCTGCCCGCAAAGAGGTCTGGCGGTGCGGTCACTGGCACCTTCTACCCGTTGTGTTAAGGGGGGGGCTCCTGCCGTGTCTGTGCCAATCTTCCCTCTTGCCCCAATATTGTCTAAGCAAACGGGAATCCCCTGAGGCTGCCGTAAAGGACGTGCTTTCCCGTCCGTTTCTCTGACAAGGATGCCTTCCTCCTCCAGTTCCTGCAAACTTCCAAGAGGAGCTGGAACGCTGCACCTCGCAAGGCTTCCGAGTCATCGCTCTGGCGCACAAGGAGCAACCCTTAAAGGGAGGGGTGGACCTGGCGGACTTGGAAAGGTAAGACTCCCAGGGGCTCATCTGGAGCCAGGGCTCGCCTGCAGAATCCGCCGGGCAGATTCCAGTCCTAGGAACCAGCCGCTCAGCGGTTCAGGTAGTCTAGTGATGCTCCTTGAGAGGTACATTAAGCTCCCTCTTGTCCCAGTGCCTGAAGCAACAAAGGGCACATCCAGCACTTGGACGTGTCAATTCATTGTGGTTGTGTTTTTGTTTTTTAAAAAAGGAAGCACCTGTCATAAACTGCTGCAAGAGGGAAGGGCAGGAGAGGTGGTTCCTGACAGTCAGAAATACCAGCCCGTCAGTGAAGAGGAATGTGTTCCCATCACCCTGATCGGGGGAGGAGACCTGCTCTTAAGGCAGGGAGGGTGGGGGGGGCTCTTACACTTGCCCGGCTGCTCCGGTGACGTTTGCCCAGGTCCATGCCTACAGAGGTCCAAATGCCACCTTTGCTCAGGCTGGGCTAAAAGCTGCATGCGTTCCAGAGAGGCAGAGAGAGGTGAGTGAGAGCCTAGCATGGCCCAGACCCCCCCCCCACGGGACTGCCTTTTTGTTTCCCAGCTGATCTCTCCCACCAGCCCCCAGCTGAGTCCCCAGAGGGTCTGCCAGTGCCCAGCGCTGCGGGTGAGAGTCCACCCACCCCCACAATTTCATCAGGGTGGCTTGGCATTAGAGAAGGCTGCTCTACACCGGGAGATGCCACGGAGCCGTGGGGTCCACCAGTGGCACCCACCTTTTTCTTTATCTGCTTGTTGGCCAGCTGTGGCCTCCCTCCAGCGGCAGTGGTATTAGGCTTACACACAAACACACACACAGAGAGAGAGAGAGAGAGAGAGAGAGAGAGACAGACAGACACACACACACACACACACACACACACACACACAGAGGCTTATAAATTGACTTTCTTTAAATTGTATATTTTTTAAAAAAAAAATTAAAGTGAAAGAAATGAACATCACAAAATCAGATTAAAGGCTCACCCTAACAAACCGACTCCACCACATATTTATGTGCATCTTTATCACAGTCCTCTTTACACGTATTTACTTCTTGTAACAGGAGTCCCTAACATTAACTTCCCAAATGCAGTCTCCCTTACAATCATCCTAGCAATGCAGTTGACAATGTGCTGGCCTGGCAACATCAACGCCCCCCTCCACAGAGGAAGCACAAAGGTTCCCCGTCTGACCCTCGTGTGAGACGGACGGAGCTGGCGGTCTGCTTTCTCCGTGGGGCCCATGCTTGCAGCTGCTCTCGCGTTTTCCGAGCTCAGGAGCCCCCCCAGGGCGGCAGGTCCCCTTTGAGATCTGATCGCCTTTATCATGATCTTCAGGGCAGGTCGGCTTTCGGCCGGGCCAGCGACGTCAAAGCCTTCCTCCTGAGCGATTCCCTCGCTGTGGGTGGGGAGCACCTCGGCCTTTTTTGTGTCACCCTAGCGCCCAAGGCATAGCCTCTTCTTTTCCCCTTGGGGGACTAACTCTTGCCTGGCCCCTTCTCTCCCCCCTCCTCACAAGGGATGAGGTGGAGTCGGACCTGACCTTCCTGGGCCTGCTGGTCATGGAGAACCGGCTGAAGAGCGAGACGAAGCCGGTCCTGGAGGAGCTGAGCAACGCCCGCATCCGGAGCGTGATGGTCACAGGTACAGCCGGGAGGGGGCGGGGGGGGGAAAGAGGCCTCACTGTCTGGCGCTGGGCTTTTAAAGACAACCCATAGCTCTTGGTACCCACCGATGTACCCTGCCAATGTACAGGGTGCTTGGACCTGAATCTTTGGGAAAAGAGATGCCACGAGGTGACACCAACCCCGAATCTTGTAGACTGGACCTTTCCGTGTGATTCCTCAACTGCGCCTGAAATATGAGGCAGATCTCTTTCACGGCCTTTGAATGAGTGAGAAAGAGAAATGGCTCGGCTCGGCGTGGGGAGGCAACCCACTGAGAGCGACCGACCGCCTGGCCCTCCGTAGCATCCTTTTGGCTGACAGGCAGTGTGCCAGGTGGTGAGACGAAAGCCCTCCCTTGTTCCTTTGGCTGTGCTGAGGGATGTCCCTTGTCCTTTCCAGAGGGGGAGCCAGGTCAGTTGGTAACCTATCACCGCAGCCAGAACCCGGAGATTTGGCACCCCGGGAGACCGGCGCCGGCTTTGTGTGGCTTAGCCTTCCCTGGACTCTCGTTCCTTGCCTCGGAAGACGGGAGCTGGAATCCACAGAAGGCGATGTTCGCCTTTAAAGCTCCACAGGACTTTTTTTTCAGAGCCAGTTCGACTTGGCCACAGAACATTGAAAAGGGAAGCAAGTAATGCTGCCATTTTAAGCCCAACACATTTCCTGTCAGAGGGAGGTGCTGTGAATTAGGATGACCGACTTCTTCAGGTGCAGGATTGAGACCCTCAGAGGATCAGGATGAAATAAATCGGTTCATCTTCAGGGCAGGACTCTTTCTGCCACTGCAGGACTCTTTGGGGTTTTTGTCGTGTCGCGCCGCAACCCCAGTGCAGAATTGTATTCTTTTCTTCCTGCTCTGTCAACCTGTTACTGTTATATTTTGAAAAAAAGAGAGAAGACCCTTTGCCTGTATTGTGTCGTTGACGTTTTCCGGAGATGTCTTGCCCCTTATCCCAGATCTGGGCCAAAAAAGAGAGAGAAAGATGGTTCATTTTATGCCGAGAGTTAAAGACCAAGATGGTCCTGGTTGTGGGGCCAAGGCTGGTGGGTGAGGCCCGGCGTGGCTGAACCTCCCTCCTGATATGGGGTGCTTCTTTCCAGGGGACAATCTTGAGACCGCTGTCACCGTCGCCAAGCACTCTGGGATGGTCTCCGGCAGCAGCAAAGTGATCCTCGTGGAGGCCAGCGAGCCCGAGGAGACGCAGCTGGCCTCCATCACCTGGCAGCTGGTGGAGGAGACGCAGCCGTGCAAGGGAGAAATCCAGGTAAGGCTGCACCTCCGTTATTTTCTTGGCCCCAAGTGAGAAAAGGAGTTTGCTCCTCCTTAGAAGAAATTTTGCCCTCTTTTTGTTTTGCATTTGTTTTGCTTTTTTTGCATTTTGCCCTCGTGGCGCAGTGGTTAAACCGCTGTACCGCAGCCAAAACTGTGCTCACGACCTGGGGTTCAAATCCCAGGTAGCCGGCTCATGGTTGACTCAGCCTTCTCTCCTTCCGAGGTCAGTAAAATGAGTACCCAGCTCGCTGTGTGTGTGTGTATGGGGGGGTGGCAATGTGTAGCCTGCATAATTAAATTGTAAACTGCCCAGAGAGTGCTTGAAGTGCTATGGGGGCGTTATATAAGCAGCACGCTTTGCTTTTTTTTTTTTGCTTTGCTTTTTTTGCAAAAACAATTGCAGAAATTTTTTGAGGTGTGAAGAATTTGCACTGGGTCTCTATTTTGTTCATATTGTGTTTATTGCTATGGCCAAAAAAAGTTGGGAAAGATCAGTCCAGAGTTGGTCCTGCCTGCCTATGAGCTCCAGGATGGTGTGTCAAATTTATCCATCCAGAGGGACTTCTTTTCCTCCCTGAGAGCAATTCCTCCCAGTCCCATCTGTGAAGCTTAGGTCCCGAAAACACCCATTTTGCGAGCGCAGAGGGAGCTGTCAAAATCGTCTCTAGCGAAAATTGGTTTGAGAAGCAGGGACCAAACATTGTCCAGTGAAATTCCCCCATAGGAATCACTGGTTTGCGAATCACTATAGCGATTGCAAAAAGTCAATGTCTAGCGAAAAACTGTCTAGCGAGGCACCACTGTACTTGAGTAAAAACAGCTTGCACTGAAGACGAAGAGACCTTTGAGGCACCAGCCGGGGTTGCCTCCAATTTCACCGTGTGGACAGAGCCAAAGGCAGTAGCCACAAGATCTGCGATTCTGATCCCACACAGAGTCTCTTTGATGCGACCTTGACCCTGTGGAGTCTCTCTTTGTCTGTCTCTCTTTCATGGGGGTGAATGCTTCTAACCCCTGGGGATGGAGGGGACCGCTTGGAATAACCTTCCCTTAACTTTCAGGATCCCTGCATTACCATGGAGCTTGGTGGCGGCGGCGGCAGCAGCAGCAAAAGCAGCAGCAACTTCGATTTTGTCCTGAACGGAAGATCTTATCAGGTCCTCCAGAAATACTTCCCTAGTTTGCTACCAAAGGTAAATTGTGCGCTCGTGTGCGCGTGCACACACACACACACACACACACACACACACACCTGCCACGGCTGAGTTAGGAGCGTGCTTCCTTATATGGCATTGCTGTCACAAACTAGGAGGTCTCGCTAAATCCAGTCTGGCTCCCTTAAAAGCAGCACCCTTCCTTATGGAGACTTCCTTATGGCAGGAGAGGTGAAACACGTTCGGTGGTGGTTGCTGAGCATCCCGTTTTCCTTCCTCAGATCCTTATGAACGCCACGGTATTTGCAAGGATGTCTCCAGGCCAGAAGTCCAGCCTTGTGGAAGAATTTCAGAAACTGGAGTAGGTGTCTTGGCCCAAGGCAGGGAGGGAGGGAGGGAGGAAGTGGGGCTTTCACACATACACACACACACCCCAAAGCCCCAGGATGTGTTTGTGGTTCACCTAGGAGGGAATGGAGGGGCGGAGGCGACCGGAGGGCTAGCGGGAGGGCTCTGTTCCCTTAGGACTGCTTCCTGCTCTTCCCCCCAACAGCTGGGCAGGGTTAGGGTCAATTTGGTGGGGCTGCCCTACTCCAAAGTCACTGTTCTGGGCTGGGTTTTTTGGGGGGATGTTAATTTTCTGCCCAGAACGGGCACTTGGAATGTTGTTCTGCGGGGCGTTTTGTGCCTGGGCACCCATTTTTATTAAGACATCCCTCTTCCATTCTGGCTTTTAACTAACCCCCAATTTCTGCCTGGCAGGCAAGCGGATGGGTATCCAAGGTGGCCCAGCAGGGAGGTCTCCACCTGTAGGATGATGATGAGGGCCTGGGTTTGTGTCCTTCCGAAAGGAGTCAGCCACCTTAGTCTTCTCCACCAAATAAAGGGCAGCACCTTTAAGACATGGGACAGGTTAATTTTAGTAGGAAGGTGAACACTCGTGCGGAAAGTGATCTGCCAGGGTTGACGAAGCTGCCTTGTGTATCTTCGCGTGTGCAAATGCCACAGCTGTTTCTAATAAGTGAGTTGATAGACCGTGTCCCCTTCTGTCTTCCAGTTACTACGTGGGGATGTGCGGAGATGGTGCCAACGACTGCGGGGTAAGCTATTAGGATGGCCTCCTCCTCCTCCTCCTCTTCTCCTTCTCCTTCTCCTTCTCCTTCTCCTTCTCCTCCTCCTCCTCCTCCTTCTTCTTTTCTTCTTCTCCTTCTTCTTCTCTTCTTCTTCTTCTTTTCTTCTTCTTCTCTTCTCCTTCTCCTTCTCTTCTTCTTCTTCTCTTCTTCTCCTTCTTCTTCTCCTTCTCCTTCTCCTTCTTCTTCTCCTTCTCCTTCTCCTTCTCCTTCTTCTTCTTCTCTTCTTCTACTTCTTCTTTTCTTCTTCTTCTCCTTCTCCTTCTCCTTCTTCTTCTCCTTCTCCTTCTTTTTCTCTTCTTCTCTTCTTTTCTTCTTCTCCTTCTCCTTCTCCTCCTCCTTCTTCTTCTTCTTCTCCTTTCCTTCTCCTTCTCCTTCTCTTCTTCTTCTTCTTCTTCTTCTTCTCTTCTCCTTCTTCTTCTTCTTCTTCTTTTCTTCTTCTTCTTCTTCTTCTTCTTCTCTTCTCCTTCTTCTTCTTCTTCTTCTTTTCTTCTTCTTCTTCTTCTTCTTCTTCTCTTCTCCTTCTTCTTCTTCTTCTTCTTTTCTTCTTCTTCTTCTTCTTCTTCTTCTCTTCTCCTTCTTCTTCTTCTTCTTCTTTTCTTCTTCTTCTTCTTCTTCTTCTTCTACTACTACTACTACTACTACTACTAATGGTTGCTTGCTCTCTTTGCTCTGACCTCGTAAACAGGGTAGCTAAGAGATGGAAATAGGATTCCCCAAGTAGCCCGCACTCCCTTGTGGATGAACTCAGGGTGCTATTTAGATTTGGTAGAAATCCAGACCATGTGTACAACACCACACCGTGCATCCCTTTGAGTTAGCTATGTATCAGTTGGCAGGTGGTGGGTTTAGCAAGTCACAGAGTCACACAGGCATCACGAGACCAGGGGGAAAGCACCCGATTCTTTGGTGGCCTTCCACAGAATCTGAATTTCCCAAGAGAACCCTTGACTCTCATGTCTTCGGCAAACCAGGACGAACATAGTTGATAAATACACACCCGGAGACAGCTGATTGGGCTACATGGACTTGCATATGAAATCATGCTCATCTTTTTGGCCTGCTCCTGGGTGGAAGAGAATCAGTGCTAGAACGGACCATTTTCTGGTTGGATTCCAGATTCTGTGACCAAGAAACCTGCATTTTGAGCCGTAATGGGTTTAGGAGGCAAACATGTGTCTTATCAGTTCTGGCCCCTAGCCATACAGTATATTTTCCATTGCGTATTCAGGGAGATACGCTGCAGAAATTTCCAGGAGAAAATGAGCCTTTGCACCCAATGCAACGAAGAATCCACTCAACGACTCACAAATTGCACTGGGCATAAATGTGTTTGTGGATGGTAAACGGCTTCCTCAGATGCACAGAATGAATCTCTACATGCATGAAAACATCAGAATCTTTCCTCTTTTGCATCTAACAAAGGACCCACAAGGGTTTAGGTGGTTTATGGTGAACAAAACCCCTCGGTCTTTAGAACGGAGGGATCCCCATGCTGATCTGATTCCTCTTTTTCTCTCCTCAAATGGATGATATCTGGTATTCTTTTTCTCCACAGGCTTTGAAAACGGCGCATGCTGGGATCTCCCTTTCTGAGCATGAGGCCTCGGTGGCTTCGCCCTTCACCTCCCAAACCCCCAACATCGAGTGCGTGCCGGAGCTGATACGGTGGGTCCTGCTTCACCCCAGTCAGCGGTTGTGATGCTGGGGCCAGCCCCCATTTCACACACACCCCGAAGGGGACAGATAAAGCATGGCGGCTCTCCTGCCCCTTCCCTTCTCATTAGGTCTTTGCAGAATGAACGCACCCGGAGCGAGCCTGGCCCGGCTTCCAGGCTGGCACGTGCTCGGCTGCTTGCGCTCACCACAGCCCTTCCTTTCCGGAGGGCTGAACCTTTCCTTCCCAGCCCTGCGCCACCTCCTCATCCCTGAGCTGCTCCGGGCAGATCCCTCCATCCTCTTATCCTCTCCGTTCCTCTCTCCACCCCAGGGAAGGACGGGCCGCCCTCGTCTCCTCCTTTGCCGTCTTTAAATACTTGACCCTCTATGGCTTGGTGCAGTTCATTGGCACTGCTCTCCTTTACTGGGTATGTATTTCGATACTGAATTGGTGTAAACAGTTGATGTGACCTGACTCAGCGGGTAGGAGATAATGCCCACGGAGATTTCTTAACTTACAGCGGTTCTTTGCTAACAGTTACGCCTTTTGCATAAGAGCACTACTGGATTTTGGCCAATGTCTGCTAAGGCCTGGGCGACCGACTGCAGTGGTTCACAGGTGGAAGGGAGAGAATTTGTTTTAGGATTGTCACGGATTTGGCGACAGGAAAAATGCGCAGAGTTATTGAAGACACAAGTTCTTCTTCTTTTGCAAGGCGGTTGTATTTACAAGTATCTACAAGTATTTACAGGCAGGCATCACATCAGCATGGCAGGAACTCTTTACACAAACGGACATAGTGGATTGCAGCAAATGGTGGATAAGGAAGAGAAATGATACACAGACACTGTTCACTTATATACATATACATGGCATCTCTAGTCCAATCAGAAGACACATGACTTCATCTTCTGCACCTGGTGTCTTCTTATTTCCAGACATTGCATCATCTTCAGAGTGACTCAGCATACACATCTGTGCACAATGGCAGCTCGTTAATAATACACTTATCCAGGTTCAGGCCTATAAAATTTCTATATTCTGACAAGGATGACTGCCTGCAGGATGACAGACGCTTTGCTTATGGGGCTGAGGCCGGATCTCAAAGGATGCCCTGCCTCCCCAGGGACACTTCCCTTCCAAGGCAGAGGATTCTCTCTCAAATGGCTCTCTTTCCAGCTGCTGCCCCTTGAAAGTCTGCACAGCCTGGGGAAGAAAAGGCGCAATTCCTTGTGGGGGGGGGGACGAGAGGCGGCAGGAGAGAGGTCAGCTTCTTCCCCCTTGCAGCCACTGCCCCTTGCAGTGGGGACACACTGTCTTTACCTTCCAGTGGTTTCATTCTGCAGTTCTCCCGCAGTAGAGGAATCTTCAGGAGCTCAGCTTAGGGCCAGCTCCTGAGAAGAGGATCAGCCACGGCTCACTTTCCCCTGCGCTTCTCTGTAATGAAGTCCCTTCATGTTCATGAATTTATGATTGCCGGGGGGTGGGTGGGAAAGAAGGGCACCACCTTCATGCGGAAGCCTAGCAGGGTGCTGTGAGCAAAGCCAGCTTCCTGGGAAACTGTTTGCTATGGGACAGAGATGATTCTGAGTGAGTGAGCTTCTAAAACAGGCAAAACGGGTCCATAGGTTTACCCTAGACAGCAACACTTCCCCTCATACTCCAAGTCTAGACAACTTCCCCTCATACTCCAAGTCTGACCCCATTTCATTGAGAACCAAGATATACAAGGGAGCTCTAGGGATATTGAAATCTCCTAGCACTCCCCTCATACTCCAAGTCTGACCCCATTTCATTGAGAACCAAGATATACAAGGGAGCTCTAGGGATATTGAAATCTCCTAGCACTCAGGAATATATTGGACCCAAGGTAGCGTTACTTTTCCGTGGCCTTGTAAAGAATAACCAATTAGGTAAACTAGAATAGAATTGTAGCATTTGTTCTATTCAAGAAGCCAAACTCCAGATCTTAAGTATATTTTGTTTTATTAGAAAAACAAAGTTCTGAAAGAATAAAGTATATGCATAAGCGAGGCATATATGTACATTTCCATCTAATCCAGTTAGACAAGAAATTGATCTCCTGCTATAAGAAACAAAAATAACAAACTTACTAACTAATGAAATTGGGAAAGGCAAGCTTCCCCTCTATTTAAGTAAAAAACTACATCTTAAAATAATACTGTAAATCCCATTGTCCATAGTCCAATCAAGAACATACCAATCTTCTGGAAAATCCAACTCCATCAGTCCATTAGGAAAAGTTCTTTGTTAAAATCCATTAAACGGAAAAAGTCCCTTCTGTATCTTTCAACCGTCCTCCATCTTCACTCTCTCTCCGTCTGCAACTTACTCCTGCCTTCTTCTTCACAGCTAACAACCAATCAGGGGTAAGGAAAAAAGTAACTTGTCCCGCCCCATCTTCTCACGAGAACTCCAGTTGTTATCATTTTAAGTTCCTGGAATGTTATGTCTCTGCTCTCACTTTACCAGGCCTATGTTACTAAGGCAACCTGATAGCGGTCAGCCTGGCCAGTTTCTGTGAAGCAAAACTGCCTTTAGGAAATTTCCACTTTCAAGCACCCAGAGACCAAAATGGATTCTTTTAGGCTAACTTCACACTACAAATCCCATCAGTAAACCACTTTCTAGCTTTCATAACCAATTTCATCACCATAATCTTTTTTCGGGGGCACAGTGGGGTGGCAAGGAGCCATGGCAGACCAAACAGATGTGGGTGGGCGATCTGCAGAGGGAGAGGGGAGGCCAACCAGAGAAGGCTCTGTGTGCGATTTCGGAGCAGTTTTGCCACCTCCTTCAGCCTTGCGCCCGTGTCTCCTTTAGCAAAACTGTAGCCAGTCTGCCCCTGTAGCCATAATAATAATAATAATAATAATAACAACAACAACAACAACAACAACAACAACA